CCGGCTCATACACGATTAGTCCTGGCGATAAGGACAGCACTGATCTACATTGCGAGTCTAATAAGTGGGCCACCAAAGAAGCTGGTGCCACGGTGATTGTCGCCCTGCTCGTTCATCTAGACGGATTTTAATTCGACGCCCGTTTCTGAAAATGTTTTCCATGAACTTACGTTTCCCCGTCATGTCTGTCCTCAACGAGCACACCCATATGATCTATAATCAGACTGCAAGTGTTTGTACATACGAAGTTCGTTGTCACGACTGTGGTAAGAGACTCTCGAGATCGATATATTTCAATTCCGTCGAAGTCGCGCTGTACATTTGTGTTAGATTCTGCGTAAGTTTCCTCGTGCATTTAATCGTTAAAAAGTGAACTTTACCAAAAGATTTATGTGCTAGAGATTAATCGAGGTTTTAATTATCTTTTAACCTTAACGTTTAACATGCTTAATATGTACAGCATAGATAACTGTGTAATTTATATATATATATATATAGAATCTTCCTAGAAAAAAACTCATTGTAGAATGCGCGATAATCATAGCAATTGTGACATTATAAAAGACTTTTAATTAAGTTTTAAACTGTTTTATCACACACGCACGCACACACACACACACACACACACACACACACACACACACACACACACACACACACACACACATGTATCACAGGTATCATTAGACTGGCCTAAGTTAATGCTCACGAAAACAAATAGTGTATGTATGAAGTATACAGTATTATCACGGCAATGATACTCATTTGTGCGAAGGAAATACAATATTTTTGACGCCCGCGCTTCACGCCTAATCGGTATATATAAATTTATTGTATCGCATTAGTATGTAAATTTTAAGACACGATACAATTTTTTTAACGCACTCTTCTGCAGCATATTCTGCAGCAGATAGGAAGAAATCATATAATATGTCTATATTTTAGAAATAAATTCGCATTGGCAACACCAAATCGTCCGTTTCGCAAGTCAATAAATGTTTCTATATTGCAGCTTGAAAAAATAAAGAAGTTTATTGTTGTAGATTCTGTACAATTCGTCACAATTACTTACGTATATAGTTAACAATGCAATTGTTCGTTAAATAAAGATTTATCTCTAATATACAAGATGAATCCAGAATTAATTTACAACAAAAAACTTTTGTTTTTTAATATTTTTTAGTTTAACGTAATGGATTATAGTGAATTATAACGAATGCAGAAAGAACATTTTAATGCAAATTAATCGATTACGCTGTGATTCTAGACTAAAATAACTCTAGACAGTAACTCGTTAGAAGAATTAGCAAGATTATTCGCAGGTTTCGTGCAAGAAAAATCAGTAGGCTTTATATAATCAATATATTTGTGATAATATATCTCGCCCAGTATTCTCTCATCAATTGCTTCAGACAGCTCTTAAATGTATTAAATGTTGTATGTATTCACACCCAAATTCGGACATTCTGATCCCAAGAGCAGCTGGCCACTGCCATTCCATTACCAGAGACACAAAGTGATGTCACTCTGTTCTCATGACCAGATAAGATACCTTGAAAGAAGAGAAGAAAAAATCTTTTACTGACATAATTATCTTTCATAATAACAATTTTCTTCCTGATGATAGATGAACTTACCGTTGTGTTGATTCTTCAACGTATCCCATATGTGAATGGAATTGTCATCGCTACCGCAAAATATAAATCTGCCGCTCAGAGACAGACCGCAAGATGTAAACCCGGGATTCGAGTTCGGTGGTTTAAAGGTAGTTAATTGCTGATCAGATCTGAAGTCCCATAGTCTCGCGGTCTTGTCTTCGGACGCTGTTACAAAACCTTGTCCGGAAGGATGATACTGATAGAACAAAGTAATGGATACAATATTGCAGTATCCTTAAATCCGCAACTAATCTGAAAAGTATCACGCGAAATACTAAACACTCACGCAGACAGAATTTACGTCAGCTTCGTGACCGAAGAACGTTTGCTTGGCTTTCTCTTCTCGTAAATCCCACAATTTGCAGGTTTTGTCGACCGAGCCGGTGACGTAAGTGTTACCGTCGGGGGACAAACTGATGCTCACCACGTCGCCCGAGTGTGCCTCGAAGTCCGTTGTTTTTTTGTTTGCCTCAAGGTCCCATATACAACTAGTGTGAAAGTACCGCCGATAATTACTCAGGAAATTAATTTCACAGTAAACACCAATTAACAGTAACATAACATCAATTATAATTTCACACTTAACAATGTAATTGTTATGTATTGTCAACATGTGTTACATTATATTTTTGAGTAGGAAATTATAACATTGATATTATGTTACTGTTAATTAACAATGACAAAAATTTAAAGATCTAATATCTAGTTATAAACGATAATTTTTAATAATGATCAAATATAATATCTGATACATATATAAACCTTGAACTTACAAGATATGTATCAGATATTATATTTGATCATTATTAAAAATTATCACTATTTTATAACCATTGATTCCTATAGCCTTTTTTGCATTGTAATTATTATTATTTTTATTATGTTACTGTTAGTTGGTGTTTTTTACTGGGTTATCATATTATCTTTTACTGAGTTATCATTTTATCTTTAAATTACGTAATTACATTTTCATGTCGCCGGATCCAGTGATGATTTTCTTGTCGTCAAGAAATCTGCAAGACGACAGGAAGCCCTCGTAACCCAGAAGCTCCCTCACGATTTTGGCAGATCCTGTAGCGTCGCGATTGTTCACGTCGTAAACGGTGCACATGTTGTCCATACCACCGCATGCAACGAAATTGCCGGACGGTGCGAAAGCTACCGACATCACCCAGGCCGAACGCAACGGGATGACCTGCACCTTATTGCCAGTCCACGTGTCCCAGATAATTAGCTTTCCATCCAACGATCCAGTCACACAATGTCTACAACGTAAAACGTAGATCAATTTATAAATGTTATTCCATTATTCTCAGTCTCCTGATTTGACAATGGGTGTAGTAAGCCTTTTATTCTGAGTTCTAAATTGTGACATTTTCTATTTTCGGAAATGCTTTTTTGCAAGAAGTATTTCCAATGATCATCAAGAAGTAATTCCTCAGCTTTAAACAAACTGGCCAGATATCTATAAAGTTCAGAGTTTAGAGCAAATTAATATCATAGTTCAGAATTTAGAAGCAAAAGTTACAGGCTTATTGCATCTATTACAGAACAGGACTAAAAGTTTTTAAGATACGATAAATTGTCTAATGATACATTAAGATTTAAAGCGAAAGCGTTCTTAAAGAAGTAAAGACATTTCGACAGTAAAAACATTTCAACATAACGAATCGAAAAATTATGAAAACTAATGTTAAAACTGACCGACTATCGCCACTATAGTGTACTGAATTGACTTTATTAATGTGTCCCTTCAACATCTTCTTAGTTGACAATCTAACTTTCGGAGCATCCGCCACCCCACCGCACGCTTGTTCCAATGTTGTATCCTGTTGCTTCTTTTGTTCTTCCTAATGAAGCAAATAAAACTGACAGAATGAGTAAAGACATCTCTGTCGAATAACTTCATATATTTACATATGTTACAAGAAATTTTATTAATTAAGGAATTATACATAATCGCTGGCCAATATACATAATTCCAGCTTGTTTTGGAATGAGAATTATCACATTGACCAATCATCAATTCCATAATTAAATTTCTCATAATTAAAATTGCAATTGTGTGAAATATTAATGAATTAATTCCTCGATTATACAGTAAAACGTTTAAACCTTGCACTTGTTGATGAGAGCTTCCAGTTCTTTCTTCAAGACTACAGTCTCGGCGTCTTCTTTGCCCATTTTTATCTTTCTTCGTGCTTTATCAGCGCCCAGAAAAATATGGAAATCAAACGTCACCGACGTTCGACATGTGAAAACTGCCGACAATACACAAAAGAAGCCTCAGGATTGTCTACCCCGCTGCCCCAGTAATCATATTAGGTCGCTAGTTAATTCGATTTGTTGGGCATTAGCTCGTCTCGTTCACGTAACTTAATTACCTTACATACACGATAACGCTTTTCAAAGAATATCTGCAATATATATTTTTTCTTTAAAAATATATATAAATTGAAGCACAAAATTAAAGAAAGAGATAAAAAATGAGATAAAAGAAATGTTCTATTAAAAGAGGAAAGGGGGAAAATAAGTTGATTGCAAATATAATGAAATTTTTATTTATTTAATATTAATGTAAATGTACATAAAAAATCCTTTACAGGACAGATCAGGCTGGAATGTTTCATTTACGTTTTGTAGAACTTCATGGATCGATGATAGCATATTCCCCCGGAATAGGAAATCACGCGAACAAAACACCGTCGACACGGTGTGACGGTTAGCCACTCTTTTCGACCACAAAAACTATCAACGGTTTCGCTTTCGAGTCTCCCACTTTCTCCTATAAATGTTCGAATCCTTTGGTACTGATCAATGTAACTCGATGTAATCGCACAGTGATTGGTGTCGGATATTTATCTGCGATATCTGCAAATTTTTCAGAGCTCGAAGAGCCAAAGTAAATATTACTTATAAATATATCCAGATAAATCATTAGAGCAAACACAGAATATGTAGTCAAATAATGTTGAAGACATGTGAAGTAGTACACACTCGGGCGAAAATAAAAATAATTTAAAAATAAGTTAAACATAAAAATAAAAAGAAGTGTAAACACTCTTCTACATTTCGTTATCTCAATTTGTGTGCCTTCCAAGCGATACAAATGATATGTGACATAATGGATCATTACATCCTTGTTGTTTGCCAATGTTAAAGATGACATGATTACTGTGTCGCACTGTGTTGCTTGTTGAAAAGCACACATAATTAGTAAAATAATTTCACATAATTTCAATTCAGTGTAGATACGAGTTGAGTTACGGTGTACAATTCTAACAATTGAATTTTTGGCAACTGATTGTGAAATAAGTTTTGATAGAACATTTTCAACAACAGTTAGACAATATGAGAACACGAAGTATCTCGGAAAGGCTGACGCTATCAATCGTTCTACTGTTATATGGAGATCAACTTGCAGCAGAAAATGCAGAAGGAGTATGTAAAACGAAGCAAAGCCATGATGTTTATGTACCCTCGAATGATCTCTCGTGTGAAAGAGATGTCTCGGATAACAAATCATTCGTCATCGAGCGATACAGACCAATGAAAAAATGCACATCAGATTTTGATACAACAGGTACTTTGTCTCTCATATTTATTGTATTGTTAATTACAATTGCAATATTGCAAAATTTTATTTCTTCAGAAATGCAGGAAAAAGAGACTCCATGCGCAATCTATAAATAATCTTTTTTTAATCTAATAATATCGATTGTTTCTGTATAACGTCCCTTAAAAAAAGTTTTTCAAAAATTCTTTATATAATTTTTCAAAATTTTTGTATATTTTATAACTTTGTAAAAAATTCTATATTTTAATAACTTGTCATCTTATCAACATATCTTTTCTAGAATTTTTCATACACATATATGAGGGTAGTTCGAAAAGTTCTCGGCCTGACATAGAGATAGCATCGAGAGTATCAAATGGCTATGATTTTTCTTAAGTTTGATCCTCTTCAGAGAGCCTCCAAAAAAGTTTCAGACAGATGCGGTTGAACATTGTCTGTTGCATCGAGTAAAGAAAATAAATTTTGGTATTTCTCGAAAAATGGATAAAATCCAATGTCGTGCAGTGTTAAAATACTTCGTTTTGAAAGGTTTAACACCAACGGAAACAAAAAACGAGCTGGATTCTACTTTGAGAGATTCTTCACCATCGTTTTCAACAGTGAAAAAAATGGGCTGCTGAATTCAAATGTGATCGTTCATCCATAAATGACGATGAACGTTCAGAATGCCCAAAAACCGCTACGACTGAGGAAATCATCGAAAAAAATCCATAATGCCGTGTTAAATGATCGACGAGTGAAAGTGCGTGAGCTTGCTGACATTGTAACATCTCAGTAGATCGTGTTCATAACATTTTACACGAACATTTGCACATGAAAAGGCTTTCAGCGCAATGAGTACTGCATTTGCTAACGGTCGATCAGAAACGCATTCCAATTTCTCAAGAGTGTTTAAACGCAATCCAACCGACTTTCTGCGACGATTCATCACTGTGGATGAATCATGGATTCACCATTACACGCCAGAGACGAAACAGTCCAAACAATGGGTGGAAGTGTTCCAAAGAAAGAAGGCGAAAACTGCCCCAGGAAAGGTGATGGCGACTGTTTTTTGAGATTCGTATGGGATGGTGCTCATAGAAAAAGGCAAAACTATTAACACGGAGAGTATTATGCAGCATTGCTGGAGCAATTAAACGATACTTTATTAAGGCCAAACATCCGCGTTTGACAAAGAAAAAGATGGTTTTCTATCATAATAATGCACTTGCTCACAATTTTTTGCTTCTGCAATTGCAGTAGCAAAACTTCATAAATTGCGCTTCGAATTGCTGCCACACGCATCGTACTCACCAGATTTAGCCCCCAGTGATTTTTTCCTGTTCCCAAATCTGAAAAAATGACTCGCTGGAAAAAAATACACTTCAAATACGGAGGTCATCACTGAGATAAACGCTTATTTTGAAGAGTTAAAAAAATTGTACTAAGTAAAGATCTAAAGAAGTTGGAATATTGTTGGTCTAAATGTATTGACTTACAAGGGGACTATGTTGAAAAATAAAAAAAATTTTCCAAATATGTTTTCTTTGTCAGGCCAAGAACTTTTCGAACTACTCTATGGATTCTAATAATTTCTAAAGAAAATTGAAACCTGAAAACATTCATTCTTTAATCTTTTTTTGGAAATTTTTACAAATTTAAAATACGACAAATTCTTAAAAATAGATTTGAGGATTTTTTTCACCAGGGATGTGCGGATGCTTCATTGATTTTTGTAGGTATATTGAAGTGCAATCCTTTTCGCAACCACTACAAAATCTCGAGGAGTAATATTAATACTTATTTTGATCATGAGAGAATACGAAGCTCGATTTTTTTTATAACATTAATTAAAAATTAAATTAATAAAAAAAATATCAGCAACAAATCTTTTTTATTTTATTGATCGAAAAAGTCGGTAAATCATGTTTATCATGTGCCAATCATTCAGGGAAATGTTTTCTCATCATTTCCTTATGGTTTTCTTTATAATTCTTATATTTTTTTTACAAACTTTATAACAGTCTGACAACAAACGATTTTATTTATAGAATTGTTTTATACATTTAATTTATCATATTATAATTCTTACATTTATACTTAATTACGTTGATTCGTATGTGCCCTATACATCTTTATATATTATCTTTTAACAAATGATTTTATTAAAATCCTATAGAAGAAAGAAAAGTATATATTTCTTCCCTGCATATATACTATCTCACTTTAACTTAAATACTGTTTCACTCTAAAATTTTAATCAAAGTTCGCGCGTGACTCCATTAATGTGAGATTAACTTAATCTCGGTTTAACTTACTATTTATTTCTTTTAATTCTAAAAATTAGAAAAAGATAAGAAATAAATTGAACACCGAGAGATTAAAATTAATCTTACATTGGTGGAACCGAATTTAAAATTAAAGTGAGATAGCATATATATATACATGGAGAAAATATATATATCTTTCTCATAAGTTTTTGAAAATCACTCGTGACCAGACTCTGTTACAGTCTCTAGTCTTCTTATAGTCTTCTTATGATTTATGATAAAACATTATAAATTATAAGAAAACTATAACACGCATTCTACAATGAGCCATTAATCATAAATCAGAAGTTAGAAGCTGGAAATTGACCAATCACAGTTGCCAATTTCCAACTTCTAACTTCTGATTTATGACTAATGGCTTATTGTAGAATGGCCATAAGAAAATTAGAGTTTAACAGAATTTTCTGCGATTTTCAAAATCCTCCTTATGTAGTCTTCTCTTTATGGTCTCCTCCTAATCTCCTCACGATCTCATGGTCTTCTCGTTGTCCTTGAAAATGACAAGCATCCTGTAGATACTCGACGTGCTCCGAATTTTTAAACTTCTCCGAGATTCGACGTAGAGAACCACTGCACGATCCTTGCGTGTCCATCACGTTGAAAATATGCTGCGGGCGCTGCAATTCCTGATTACGGCTCTGCATCTGTACGACGGACGGTTTCCGTCGGTCTCCATGCTCTTGGTGTTGCTGTATTGGTGCGCAGTCGGCGTCAAGCAACGCCAAGCGACGGACGTGGATGTGTGTCACCGACGAACGGTGCAGATCACCCCGGGGATTCTGTCAGCTAGTGCACTCGTGAGAGAGAAAGAGAGACAGTGAGATGTTCGGCAGCAAGAGAACGACGATCGGATGCTGGCTCATGTGGTGCTACATCTTCCTGACGTACCACGTGGTCAGCGAGACACCAGCCGATGTTAATGGTATGACACGATCGCCCTTTCAGACTAGAATGGATGAATCCATGCACTCCATGCGTATCATGAGAGAGATCGATACAGAGGGAGAGAAAGAGAAGGAAAGACAGGGAGACTGTCCACGGCAAGCTGATTCTGTCAAAAAATAACAAAAGTTTAAAAAGTTAACAATTAGGAGACAGCTAGAGGTAGATACAGATTCTGATGTACTTATTTGGACTGAGTATAAAACTCAGGTTGCATGTGAGTAATTAAGTTCCTGGGTCATTCATGTATTTTCTTCACTTGAAATGCAACAGTGTATCTTCAGTTATTTGAAGGTAAACAGAAGAAAAGGAAAGATAAGACGCAATTGAGATCAGATTTATTTGTCTGCATACAATTGTGCACAACAGAAATGAATTATTTCATAACTCTTTAATAGAATGTATATTGAATTATTAATGAAAAATTAATAAGAGAAAACTTCTTTCGATGCTCTTATTTGGACTAAATCTAAATTTTGGATGATTGTATGTGAACTGTCAATCTATCCTTATTACATTTTCACTCATATTACATTTTTTGCACTTGAAATGTAACAGTCTATTAAAAAAAGGAAAGTAAAATTAGAATTTAAAAAAATCAGATCTATTGTAATTATACATAACATGGATGAAGACTTTATATTTCATAGTTTTTTAATAGAATGTCTATATTAATGAAACATTAATGAAAAAGAGCTTTAATTTAAAGTCTAACTTCAGATGATTATTTGTGATCTATTAGATCTCTGTCGCGCTTATATTACACTTTCTTCATTCGAAATGTGATTATATTTTTAGGCAAATAGAAAAAGAAAAAGATATAAATGCAATTGAGAAAGCCAGATCTATTGCTTGCAATTGTGCACAATATGGATGCAAAATTATTCCTCAGCTCTCTTTGTATTATTAATATATCAAATATATTTTTCATTAATATATTATTAATAAAAAAAGAATATATGTATAGTTACGAAGTTTTCTATCAAAAATATATTATCAGAATCGTTTACAACGATAGTGAATAATGAAAAGAGAATTGAAGTTTCAATATCAAAGGATTCTTTGACGGATTCTTCCACAGCTCTCTTCTCTTTTTATTATTCTTTTAAAACCGGTGTTCCAAACACCCACTCGTCAGTTCAGATGGAAATTCTTTTGGAGAATCCTACCTTAATCACGACCGCATCTCTTCGATCTTTCTAAGAAAGCAGTCGCAAGCTTATTTACGACAGAAAATGAGACTTGAGTAATATGTATTTATTTATTATTTGGAAGGGAAAGTGGAGAAATAATCAACGTTCGTAGACCGCAGTTCGATTGGCGACGAGTTCGGCTCTTCTTAACTTCTCCAGGCGACGCGCCTGAAATAATACTTTATCTGCAAGACACACTTTATACAGCTCGTTACCTTCACTAACATCAGCTTAAAATGCTAACTACATAATAATCCTGGAAAATTTTACGCACTGTTTGCTATGAAACAAAAGTTTTAAATGTATAATTGTATTTAACTTTATAACGGTCGTATGTTTGATTAATTGAATTTTTGGAAACAATTTCCGCAAATAAATGTTGAGTCGAAGAACAGTCAAGAAAGGGGTCACAAAGGCTATCTACACATGATCTCAAGTCGAATATATATCTCATTGCGTAATCACCTTCTAATTGCTGCTTGAATGATTATAAACGCTGCTCTTTAGTTTTATCATAATAGCATGAACACAATAACGTCTGTTATATTAAAACAAAATGCGTCTTCTATATGATTCATGCGTAGAAATATAATTTATCATTCAAGTCTCTCAATGAGGATTGAATGATATAATGAACACGTGACGTGATCGTTTCGTTTATGGAACGTGAACTAATTTAATTAATTCGATTCCGTTCTTTTGGCATGCCACTGGATCGGTTCTTATCATTACATTTCCGGCGTTGCTCATCGCGCAAGCAGAGACTCGAGAGATACTCTAATTATTATAAATTTTTTTATTCAGCGACGTTTTATAATTCGTTAAATTAACGCTAATCGTTTATTTCAATTGATATAATTACTAGATCATTTCATCTTATCATTGACAGCATTCAGCGGAATAAATAACTTTGTAACTGTTGTAAGATTTTTTAATATGATTAGTCTTGCTTCTATATAGGTCCTCACTGAATCTAAATGTAATACATACTAATCATATTAAAAAATATTACGATAGTTGCAAAGCTGCATTTCTGCTGACACAGCTATTAACACATTGTACGCATTTTTAATTTTACAATTTTCTTGTAAATCATTCCAAGGAAGCTGTTATTTTAACAGTTTTCTTTTTTCTTTAATCACCTTTGAAACGAAGCTTTTTGCTCTGAAAGCGCGTTTCCTCAAATTTCCATGGGTTCTGCGTTCTAAGAATATCTCGTGTTGCTTGCGTAAGTATATATCGACAGCTTAGTAATACAAGCGCTGGAGACGCGTGTTCTCTCTCAATACAGCCAGCGTGTGTGCTGCGGCTGTTATGGGCGCTACTTCTCGGCATGACATCACGAGTTTGGTGTAATGTAAACGAGTTCACCGGCTGAGTGAACAATGAAGGAATCGATATATCGTAGTCCCGATGCAAAAGGACGGTTCATCCTCGAGTATCGCTCGCAATAATTCTTTATCAATCTGCTTAATCTTCTTTCCTGTATGAATTTAAGCTCTTTAACAAGACAAAGAAAAAATTTTTGTAAAGCTATAACAATTTCTGTATGTTGTATACTCTTTGACAAAAGAAGTTACACACAAATTTAGATAAAAAGTCATTATTTCAGAAACGTTGACGGATACAGCAAAATGTCACAAGACTCTTTCAATTCTTTTCAATGAGATCTGTGATAAAGATGTTATATATTGAGCGATATCTATCAATAAGAAAACGATCTCAACGTTTAGACCTATGCGTAACTTTTTTTGTTAAAAAGTGTGTTTTCAATTATCATGTTCTAATTCTTCATCTCGCAATTAATTATAACATTATTTTTTAGATGTCCTGGTATTTACCGTTGCTTCCAACGAAACAGATGGCTTCAAAAGGTACCTGAGATCGACCGAGATTCATGGATTTCATGATAAATTGAATGTCCTTGGTCTAGGCGAGCCTTGGAAAGGCGGTAACGTTGTGCGTTATGCCGGTGGTGGATACAAAATTAATCTCCTCAAAAAAGCCTTGGAGGATTATCAAAATGATGAAAAGAAGATTATTTTGTTCACTGATAGGTAGATACATCCTTCTGATAATATGGAATATTTCAACAATATTGTAGCAACATTGAAACATTCTAGTAATATTATAAGAGTTGCAATGTTATTGCTGGAGTGTCCATATGAACTATTCTGTTACTGCAGAGAAGATATTTTATAATGTATATATTTCCTGCTTTTAGCTATGACGTTATATTTCTTGGCGATCTATCCATCATCGTCGAGCGTTTCCTGGATACCGACGCTCGAGTCTTATTTTCCGCGGAGGCGTATTGCTGGCCGGATAAATCTCTGGCAACTCAGTATCCGCCCGTATCAAGGGGCAAACGATACTTGAATTCCGGTGGTTTCATCGGTTATGCGTCTGATGTGTATAAGATCTTAGAGACCGCTGTTATCAAGGATGAAGACGATGATCAGTTATTCTACACGACCGTATATCTGCAAGATGAGCTTAGGTTACGGTACAAGATCAAGCTAGATCACAAATCTGAGATATTTCAGAATCTCTACGGTGCGGTAGGTAAGAGCAAGCGGAATACGCAACAAAGAGCGTCAATCAAATATATCAAAAATAAATTTTGTCAGATGTTTGCTACAAATTTTGTCGATCAAATTTGATTCACATTCTGTTATATCATTCGATGTTAGTGACAGATATACAACAAAAATCTACTCACGTAATATGAGAATAAATTGTCAGCAAAAACTCTGCAAGCTTGTTGACAGCTGACAATTTGCTGCAAATTGACTACAAAAACTAAAACTGGCGAAAGTTTTGCTTGGTTTATGTAGAAACTGTTTTGGAGATCTTTGGGTTTGCCGACAATTTCCCCTCATATTATGTCAGCAAACTTTGTCGGCAAAACATAAGCAAACACAGTTAACGCCAATTTGTTAATATTTTTGATTGAATTTGTCAGCAATCTATAAGCAATTGCTAACATTTTGCTGACTGGATAGTTATCATCATTATTGTCTTTTACAGCCGATGTAGAGCTCAGATTCAAGGGAGAAGAGGCTTATCTTCAAAACATCGTTTACAACACAGTGCCCTTGGTGCTTCATGGCAACGGACCCAGCAAGCTGGTCTTAAATTCCTTAGGCAATTATCTGGCCCGCGCTTGGACGCCGGATGAGGGGTGTTTGGCATGCTGGGACCAAACCATTGAACTCGACAAGATCAAATCGAAAACATATCCGGTTATTTTAATAGCCATTTTTATCGAGCGTCCTACGCCGTTTCTAGAAGAATTCTTCCGAGCTATCTATCGTCAATACTATCCAAAGTCGAAGTTACATCTGTTTATTCACAACAATGTTCCCTATCACGAAGACGTGGTGGATGATTTCTTTGAGAAGATTGGCCAGGAATATCTGAGCGCGAAGCGAATATTGCCGAGCGACGATGTCAGCGAAGTTGACGCGAGGAAGTTGGCAATGTAAGCAGAACTCATAACTCTACGAATATAAAGCACAGACTTTTATACCCGCTTACATCTAGTAAATTTGAAGGTAAAATGTGAAGTTGGTAGCTATATTTACTGAAGGATAATATGCAGTAAGAATATGTGATTTAATCTAAATAAATAAAAGATAATTTTATAATTTTAAACAAAAATATTGGAAAATGGCTATAACATGTTGCATACGTAATAAAATTAGATTTTTATTCAAAAACTACTAAATATAACGATATGAGTTTATTATAAAGATTCGGTATAAAATACGGTCCATAATACATAAAAGTCTGTGATTTAAAGATTTGAGACGTATTACACTATTTAACATTAGAACGAAGGAACGCGTGACATTTATAGGAATGCTAAAAAACGATCTGTTTCAGGGAGCATTGCTTATTGAAGGAGTGTTCCGGATATCTGTCGATCGACGCAGTTGCGCATCTGGACAATGAGCATACGTTGAAGTTACTGGTGGAACAACAGAGAGGGATCGTCGCGCCCTTGCTCATACGTCCATTTAAAGCGTGGAGCAATTTCTGGGGCGCCATAACGGATGATGGATTTTACGCACGGAGCTTCGATTACATGGAGATAATAAAAAATGAACGCAGGTAAAGCGAAACATACAAATATCAATCTTCTATATTTTTCGCTTGAACTACAATATGTACGCATAAAGAAAAGGAAGCGTCGATTATTATTATTCTAGATAGACGCCGATTTCAACGCTGCGCTTCGATAAAATCGAGAACAATTTCTCGCATTCCGGATTAAGACAATTTTAGTCTCCTTCTGGAAGTCGTACAATATCGTTCTAAATCTTTTTTTTTTTTTTTTAGGGTCTATCGTAAAAAGTTTACGTGTTACCTGGGCTTTATATGTTTTCTTATCTAATTGTACGTGTTTGTTTGCGATCTGCCATACACTCGCACTAATCGAAAGCGATGGAGAAGTCAGTCTTGAAAGACCTTCGATCGATGCTGTACATATTATCCGCCGTGCACTCGTAGACCCCCGCATCCATTTGAGTAGCAGGATCGATCTCGAGTTTCGATTTCACTTTGTCAGGACCGACTTGCCACTCGTGTATCTGCAGAGAATGAAATGTCGTTAGTAATGATCAAATATCAAGCCACTATTGATTGTAAATGCAACTCAATTGACTGCTTTTTGCAGTTCCGCAGTTAATAATTTTATATTGTTGCTTTTTACATTGAAAATGTGCATATATTCACATGTAGATAGTGATGCGTGTAAATCTCGGCGCCATCCTTGAACCACGTAACATGCGGACGTGGATTGCCACGAGCAACGCAGAGGAAAGCTATTTTGTGTCCCAGGACGTACTCTAGATCGAAATGCGACGCTAGAAGTATCTTGGCTCCCTAAAAGAAATTACTAGTGATAATAACTAGTGAGAAAGTTACATTGAAACTTTAGATTAAATTGAGACAATGATTTCTTTCTTATTGCATTGCATTTAAAAAAAGAGACAATGATAGTAATCATATAAATAACAATTTATTTAAGTTTTATATCAGAATTAATATGCATAGTTGAATAAATTATCTTGTAATTATTCAACTATAAAATAATTTATTTAACTACATTATGTATATTAATTCCACATAATATAAAACTTATATAATTGTCATTTATATAATTGTTATTGTCGTTATTGTCATTATGTTTTTCTCTGAATTGATAAACCCTAGAGTAGTGCAAGAACGAAAATGTTCCTCTCGAGCAATCGCTTTTTTTACGTACGTTATTATTGTTGTAATACTGATCGCTTTCCGGATCGCGATACTTTCCGGTAATGGGCAATCCGATTTGCACACGGGACTTGCTCCTGCTTCTTCCTCGTCCTCTTCTACCAAGTATCTCTTGACAATTGAGCAATAATATACCCAGCAGGATTAGCAACAGCATGGAGCGTGACATGATAATCTAATAAGAGTGGAACATTACACATAATACCTTACGCGATTTTTCAAATTTACAGATTCGTATGTTGCTCGTATGTTGCCTTGATTTTGGATCGAAATGATCCGCAATTAACACAAATCGAGATTAAAATCTTGTTATTATGAGATTATAGAAAGACGCGGAAGATGCTAAAATTGTCGCCTGATGTTATTATTTATTGCAGCGGAGATAGACTGAGGATACTCACTGTACGTTGTAGCGTTCGTAGATCACACGGAACTCCGATGTAACTGACAGTCACCTACTCATTACTCCCCTAGTGTCCTCTCGCATCTATTACAGACTTATATGCAGATAATGTATGTCGGGCTATATGCACAGCGGTTATTCCTTTGCACTACATGATCGCCATCAATTCCTATCAAATATGCAGAGCGCTTATCCATTAATTTAACCATTTGTCCATTCCTTCCGGATGACTCAGATTTCCGGTACAATTGCAAGTGACTTTTAAATTAGTTGTCTGCGACGCGTCTTAATTAAAATTTGCAACAATACGTCACGCGTATTCAAATTCAAGAATTAAAACCGGAAAATGGAAGCTGTATAGAGGAGAAATAACTGTAATTATTATACACAGCGTTCGTATAATATTCATGCAGATTGTTTATTTCACACTGTGCTACAAATTGTCGCAGTCATTGGTGGCGACGTAGCGAAGTACGCCCTTCCATGCCACTGTCGCGCATTGCAATTGCCTTGTTAAATTTGCAGTGATGGACCATTTTCGATATATTCCTCGCGTCACATATCCCCTTATAACAGTCAATCATGCTTTAACGAATTGGGGGGAACCATTGGATTTGTTTTCGTACCTTCGCACGTCCGTTGATGATCCAAAAGAGGTCCGTTTTGTTCATATCAGAAGGAAAAAGATAAATTGTTATGACCTTAATTTTTACGTCGCTGACGCCACGTAGAAAGTTGGATTAATTTCTTAAATATCACGACCGCCTTCTGGGGAGGGTAGAAAAGCACTAACAATAACATAACATCAGTGTTAAAATTTTGTACTCAACAACGTAACTGTTATGTAACAAATACGTAATATTTATATTATTGAATGTAAAATTATAATTGATGTTGTTACTAGTTTAATGGGTTGTCTTCCTTATTAATTTGGATCAGAGCTTTATCAAGTATATAAACTAAACTAACTGCTTATCAAATAAAAATCTATCATGTAACAAATCAATAACAAACTGTCTATATCTATTTTCACACAGGATATTAGTTGTTCTAATACTATGGCAATCGCAGAGCTATCCATCAGGGAAAACGTTCAATACGAGATCATGACGTAATCCGTTCTAAAGCCTCTGCGATCGACGGCATACTGATTGTCCGCCTGGCACTCGTAATATCCGGCGTCCTTCTGCGTCGCAGGATCGATCTCCATTTTCGACTTTATCGTGTCATTACCAACAGGCCACTCGTGCACCTGGCAATTCAAACGATCTCCAGATTCTCGCGATTATCCGAGAAACCAATTTTCCATCTTTAACAGTGGACTTCTTTTAGGGAAGACCAGTCCCAGATCTTAATTGTGGATTAGCTTACCTGAAAGAATTTATGATGGTACAGCTCGATCCCGTCTTTCAACCAGGTGATCTCCGGTCTTGGGACACCGATCGCCATGCAGAAGAACGTAATCTTTCTGCCCAGCATGTAGTCCAGCTCGAAGTGGGATGCCTTCACGATCTTGGCACCCTGCGAAAGACCCGAGAAATGGTATCACTAGATCGTGGCACAGATACACAAGATACACATCCATCGTCAACTCACATCCTTGTTCTCATAATAGTGCGTACTCGCAGGATTTCGATTAGGTATCAGGATGTGCATTCGCGAGCCGAACAGTCTTCCTCGGCCGCGGCCTCTCCCTCTACCACCGCCGCCCTTCGCCGCCTCTGTGCTTATCATTAGGGCCGCTAATAGAAGCAAATAGAGCAGCCGGCATCTCGTCATTTGATCTATAACCAGAATGAACTAGAGAAACTTAGACGACTGAAGAGTAACCAACAACGCACGCGGGCCTTGTCACGAGCACTTTATATACCTTATCGCGAACTCATTTATCACTATTATATAGTATTACTCACTACTCTTTTTATATGTATATATATTACATTATAATGTTATATCGATTCGCGGTCGTGAGAAATTCGATGATGAGATCAATGAATCGCGTTCCGCAGGTAATAATGTGCCAATTTACAATGTAATCGCAGCGCAACGCAATTCATCAATGTGCACAAAGAGCATTTCGCTATTCTTACCAGGAAGATACGGAGGACTTGGCTGATCTCTGGCACGAGCGTATTACGGATCCGCTAGGTCCTACCACCTAAAATACGAATGAAACCACGAGGCGACGCGCGCAGTCACACGCTGATGTACTGAGTTATGAATCTCAATTGGATAATTATGCATAACTCATTGCCAAGTATGTTCAACGGCCAATCGCGGCTACCACTGCGATCACCTTACAAAACACTTAAGCGACGACCTCCGGAAAACAAATGCCATCGTGCCCAGCCGTGGGGCAAACAAGTACTCTCTGCTAGTTGCGCTCGTTGTACGCCTTCTCCGAAGCGCTCCTCTGATATGCAATTTGCCGAATCACGTTGATGCCTGTTTCAGGGGACTGTGGAACGTGCCATTCGTCAGTAACTGCTACTTGATCAACGCAACGATTATAGCAAACAAGGCGACCCGGCCAACCTACGAGGCTGGCGACCTGGACACGGAGATGGCATTCGCCCATGGAAATCGACAGCGGGGCCTGTTTATGTACGTCAATAACCGACTCGAGTTTGGCCATCTCGTCGATCCCGATACCTACGACATCCGACTCACCTATCCGGACATATACCAGATCATAGAAAATAAGCTGGATTGGGAGAAAAGATACATTCATTCGAATTACAGTGAGAATTTTAATCCCGACAACAAGCCGATACAGGTAAAGATGATTAGCCGTAAAGAATTTCTCTTAATTATTATCTACTTCCTGTTCAACTTGATTTTTTTGCAGCCATGTCCGGACGTCTATTGGTTTCCCATTGTTAATCTCAGGTTCACCAAGGAGCTCGTAGGAATCGTTGAGACTTTTGGACAATGGTCGGATGGAACTAATCACGTAAGTTGAGAGAAATATTCCTTATGAGTCTTTTATCGTCAATTAGCTTAATAATGTTATTAGAATTCTAGTACTGTGCGATTTACTTTCTTGGCAGGATCCACGATTGTCGGGTGGCTACGAAAACGTACCAACCCGCGATATTCACATGAACCAAGTTCAGTACGATCAACAATGGTTGTATTTCTTGAAAGAATACGTTAGGCCGTTGCAGGAGTTCATCTTCACTGGCTACTTTCACGATGTAAGATTTATTTATATTCACTGATCTTTTTAGGATCCTCGACTGGAATCCGGATACGAAGCGGTACCAACCCGTGATATTCACATGAATCAAGTCGGTCTCCAGGACGCCTGGTTAAAGTTTCTAAAAGATTATGTCAATCCCTTGCAAGAACATGTCTTTACAGGATATAATGACTACGTAAGATTTTGAAATTTGGGTATATGGAAGGGATCTTAATTCGCACAGATCTCACAATGGTACATGCACTCGCTAAACGCACACGGTTTAATTAGCTAGGTTGTACCGCTTCGTAGCAAGTGATTGGGATCTCTGTATTATATGTATGTAGATTTTTGAATTAAGGAACAATAATAACTTAAGACCCTTCCCTCCCCTAAGTAACATTCGATTGATATTTTAACTGAGATTTGATGAAAGTTTCACTGAAATTTATGTCGATTTTACACCGCTGTGCATGTTATTTGAGAACCCAAACAGAACAACAGGTCACAATAACATCAAAATAACGTTAAAATAAATCATGACTAATAAAAAATATATTTTTAATAATCATTTTGGAGTCATTTTGACACAGTTTTGATGTCATGCTTTTTGTTCTGTGCTTGGGAAATGTATCAATCAAAGTTGCTGTAAATCATTTTACTTAGAACCATATGTTATATTAATTTTATGTCGGCAGCCACCACGGTCCCTCATGAATTTCGTTGTGAGATATCGCCCGGACGAGCAATCATCCTTGAGGCCGCATCATGATTCTTCGACCTATACCATCAACATCGCCCTGAATCAAGCGGGAGTGGATTATGAAGGCGGTGGATGCAGGTTCATCCGATACAATTGCTCGGTTACCGACACGAAGCCAGGCTGGATGCTGATGCATCCTGGAAGACTGACGCACTATCACGAGGGATTGCTAGTGACTGCGGGCACACGTTACATCATGATCTCTTTCGTAGATCCGTGATAGAATCCTACTGTGAATCTATAAACTGTAATCATTATTAAAAAATGTACTGCCACTGTATCAAGAATGAAAAGTATCAAAAGAAGAGAAAGCTAGCGCGCGGTATCAAAAAGAATCGTAATTTCTACGTGTTCATTATTGTTGTCGACGTCAATTGCTACTGATGGACTGAATAGTGCATTTAACAGATGTGTGAAAGCTGCTTATATATATATATATATGTATATGTATATATACATATAAAATCAATGTATTATTTTTATACTCTGAAAATGCATACTCGTGTTTTTCATAGTTAGCAATATTGCCAATTTATGAGAGATGATAAAACTGGAATATGTATATTGTGCAATATTCATTGACATCTGAATGACCAGTTCTTTCAGTATACATAAATAGAAATTAATAATAAAATTTATAATAATAAATGTTATCAAATATAATGAATATCATATTAATCATGTTAATATTTTTCAGCTATTTTTTAGCCGAAAGGAAAAGGATTTTAAATCTCTTCAAGTTCAACATTTTTGTTTTCCATTTTCTATCATATATCTATTATATAATTTTTCAATATGTTACAATATTAGGAACATTAATAGGATAAATAATTAAAAATAACGTCACCGAATAGCAAATTTTCAAAAATTGATTTTAATTACATCCCTGCACATTTATTTACAGAGTAAAAAACGTACCTCTGTGCCAGAATTAATCGCGACAGTACACATGTCACTTGTGCAAAACTAATATAATTAAAGCCATTGTTATTTTCACTATGAAATAAGTACTCATACTTGAATTCAATTGAACTTGTTACACGGATTTTAACGCGGATTTAATTCTTTTAACCATTCATTATATTGCTTTTTTTATCTCATTAAATTGTCCGGAATATAATGTGTAATGTATTCCATCAAAAGTTAATCTTAAAGCACTCTCGGTTTTCAACCACATGCATTTAGCGCCACTTGTATGTGTATGTATATATCTATCAATTCTAGAATGCTATGCGGTTTAAAATAATTTAAAATGCAGCGTAAGTAAAAAGCGAATTAAATGTAATATGTTTATGCAAAATACGTTTCCACCAAATCTTCTGTCAAATCTTCTAGCCACATCAGATATCTGGTAATCACGAATGCTATAAACTTAAATTCACAATAACGTTTAATTTAACTAAGTCTTATTTACAGTTTTTGTTCGCTTCATAGAAAAAAATGGTTATATATATTATATTCATTTCAGAAACCAGCTCGTTTCAATTCATTCAACTGATGTGCCAGTTTCTCTTCCTTGGTTCGCCTAGCTTGACCCAGCTTCCGGCACTCTATGTACGTGCTGAGAAAACGCTCGACGTCGATCTTCCGGTTGAGAAAATCTTCGGCAATCTGCTCACTCTCTTCGTGGCTCTCGTCTGCTGCTTGTCTCAAACATTCTTTTATGTGATCCGGCGTAAAAACCTCGGATAATTTATTGTATCGTTGTATGAGATGGTCATATCTAGCTTTCAGTGCTGCCACTGTTTTCACCTTATCTGCTACATCAACTTGCAGCTGCTTCAGTTCGGGTTCTTTGGCTGCATTAGCTTCTACGAGAAGAGATACAAATTTATTAATAAGCAATTAAATAGATAAAGATTAAACTGCAGGTCTGTCCAAAACTTAGCTTGTGAGTTAAACGTTCTCCGTCTCATTGAGTGAGACAGAAAAAGGATAGATATTAGAGCAGCCAGTCAATGGACTAAGTTCTAGCATCTATTGTTTTTGTTTTCTCTTTTTGTCTCAACGAAATAATGAAGGGGAAGCGTTTAACTTTAAATTTTAACTTTCCTCGCAAGTTTAGATAGGATTAATAGAAATGACAGAAGTTTTTCTGCGATTTTAACATTTCAATAGTAAAGATATTTATATTTCTGTTCTTACCGGCAGTTTTTTCAACCCAATCCATAGCATCTTCGATCGCTGCATTTATATCTTTAATTTGGGAATGTTTTTCCAGAAAGTCATCCAGCTTATCGTCATCTTCGCTGAGCCTCTTTAATTCCTCATTAGTTAAATTGTTTAATTCGGGAAATATTATGCTTTGCGGCGCTTTCGTCTGCGATTGATTCGGCAACAGCTGCTGATAGTTCGCATTCGCATAATGCGAATTTAGGTAAGGCGTGCTGTGCTGATCTGAGGTATACCGCGTGGGCGTAGAATTTTGAAGCGCACTGCTCCTCGAATTCGTAAGATACGGTGAGTGATGCGATGTACTGCCGAATGATTTCGAAGTCGAGACATACGTGTGACCGGAGTTTGTATAGTTGTAATTATAAATGCACGTGTTCGCATTGGAGGACGACAGATGTGGAAACTGCGTCTTATAATATGAATTGAATGACGTCGATGGAATTTCGACAGGATACTGCTGAAGCGAGTAAGACGGCGAGTTCCTTCCTTGCAGATCTGTAATAACACATAAAAAGTATTTCAATGAATATAGAAAAATATAAAATCGTTTTTACATAAAGTAATTACAAGAAATAAAGTAATTACAAGAAAGAAAGTCAAGATGAGCGATAAAAAGATGTCGAATAAAAATAAACAAGTTTTATTTTAAAATAAATCGTGATGGGACAATTTTGATTTATTGAGTTTTCTTCAGCCAAATCAAAATAAATAAATCATAATGTTTAAAATATAGCCATATGTGTGAATAAAAAATTGAATGATAATTAAAAAATATAAAAAAGAAGAATAAAAATTAGAAGATCATGTCAACTTTACTCAACAATAGAATAATCTAATAAAAGTGACAAACATTATGTCAAACATATAAACACATTTTATTTTTAAATGTAATATAAATATAAAGTAAATAAAATAATTGTTGCATGTTAAAGTATTTCATTATATCGATGCATAACAGAACAGGTGAAATAGCGATACCTGGATGAGATTTACTAGAACCAGGTGAAATATCCTCTAACAACTGTGGCGGATTCTTGCTGAATTCTCTGATAATAGCTTGGACGACCCGACCGAGATCACTGTGTACTGAAAACTGCCGTAATAACAAGAGATTTATTATCTCAAATATACAAAAGACATTGAAATAAAATACATAAATGAAACATAAAGAATAATATATGTATATAATACATATTTTTATTGAATTAACTTATTAAAGGTCTATTAGATTAAAATTAAACAATCAAATTAAAGGATTAAAATATTAAATGCAATCAATGAAATCTGTCTATTCTTTTTAGCTGAACTTCTCGTGCATAATTCATCTTTTCTCTTTTTCTCTTTAACGTAAAAAGAAAAAGGAAAATGATAGATCATGTAAGAAGTTTAATGAAAAAGAATAGATCTTAAATTACAAATAGTTACAAATGCTAATTACAAAGTCATAATAAATGATAGAAGTATTATAAAAAATGATATAAGTGTGTCATATAAGGATATAAGTAATAAGTTTAATATATATTATATCTCTTTTTCTTAACACTTCATTATGACTTGTTTGTAACTTAGTGTTTATTATTTAACTAACATTAAAACTTAACTTGATTCATAGTCCTTTAATTATATTATTTATATATTTTTGTACCATAAGTTTTCTATATAAATTTCTCCGCTTACATTGAGTAATCCTGGTGCACTGGTAATTTCACTATGCTCATTACACCAGGGATGGCTTATCGGTGGGGAAACTCTAAGTACTGGCTTCTCCAATGGAAAATTTGGCGACAGGGAAACCATAATAGCCATTCGTCTTTCGCCAGCTTGAAATTCCACCTGATAGTCCACATTTTCTCTGAGTTCTATCACACTGCAAGACATTTATTGCATTATACTTCCCGCAGACACTTGCGGCCAGTAAAAATCTACGAGACCAATTGTGACCTTGAGCCAGCATTAATCTTAATGTTATTAGCTTAGCATTCAAAATGTCATTTGCGAGATGTAAGACAATGACGCAAATGCCATTTCCAGGAAAAAAATCTTGGAAGCGATTGCTACTGTCATAATGGGAGGAACTCGTGACCATTTCCGATTGCATCGAGAGAACACAGCGCTACAGCGAAACGAGCAATCTAATTGTTTTCGCAATATAGGTAGCCATTCGTAGGACAATACCGAGCATAATATCGACGATAATATGGCTCAAGTGAGGTTAATGAGAGAGGTTACAACGGGGGGAGAGGAGGGGGGGAAGAGGAGCTCCTGCGACGACGACGATGACGAGAATTCACCCTTACTTGTCGTTAAAGATTTTCAGAGTGTCGATTTGCCGTTTGCGTTTGACCGCGATATTCTCGATTTCCCCACGGAATATTCGCGATATCATTTAAGTGCCTGGATTTCCGATAGATCTCTCATCCGCTTGATCGTCGTTCCTGTCAACGCGACCATCCAGCAGAACAGCTGTTTTAACCTCGTCACACTTCACGTAGAAGGACAGAAGAGTCTGAGCCTGAGCGAGAATACGAAGCTCGCTTCAGTTCGGTTACTAGTTGCGCTGTCAAACGGCGCCACTGTCGCCTTCTCGCGTTAACCAGAACACAAAAATAGTGCGAAAGGGAGGGGGGAGAGAGAGAGAGAATAGAAAGGTTAGAAAGAGAGGAGGAGATTAAAGAGAGAAAAGTAAGAGAGAAAGAGTTGACTAAAGAGAGAAGTTATAGAAAAAGAAAGAGAAACCAGAGAAAAAGAGAGAGAGAGAAAAAAGGTAATAAGGAGAAAAGTAAGAGAGAGGTTAGAAAGAGAGAAGAAAGTTAATGAGAGAAAAGTCAGAGAAAGGTAGAAGGAAGACACAAACAAAAGAAGAGAGAAGATAATAAGAGAAGCTAAAGATAGAAAGAGAAAGAGAGATTTTGTCAGCTAAGTACTATCGCCTACTTCGTATTTATAAAAGTGAAAAATAGGAGTCAGCAAGAGAGAGAGAGAGAGAGAGAGAGAGAGAGAGAACATCCAGTCTACTCTTCAAGGCGATCTCAAGGTCCTAATTCGAAGGTGGAGTTCTCTATGTTCATGAAACGTCCACATTGAACTACATTGCTACATTTCTGAATTCTCCGTAGATAACATTTTATATATTTTATATATGTTGATTTCACGCTACATTCGGAGCATTGCTCAGCATTGTTATAAGAACTCACACGTCAAGATCGTGTCAAGCAGGAGATGTTAATTTATCCGCGATTATCGTTCCAATATTGACAATATATGCCAGAAAGAAAATAGCACGATATATCGCTTTTGTAATATATAAAAAAGATTCTCTGACGTGAAAATTGCGTCTTTTCGGAATTTTGCGGAACAATTAGATTATCAGTAGATTAATTTTTCTTGAGAAGGACACAATCGGATTTGAAAACTATCAGACCTCTCTTACGTTTTGTTGGCGCAAGAAGGACTGTCTGTCCCAGCGGGCTTTATGAGCAAGCAGGATTCATTCTATAGTTAGATATAAGTGTCTCCCTAAGCGCTTACAACAGCTTACATACAGCTTTGTTTTCCCCAGAAATTCGCAGTGGGCCGAAAATAAACACGGAACCGGCGTGACGCCGGGAACAGACGTCTCCTTTGACGCGATCGTAGTGCTTGGAAGACTCAGGAATCACACCATGTCGTCCCTCGTGCAGATAGACGGCAGTTTGGGCGAGGGTGTAAGTATATATGAAACAGAAAATCCTCTAAATATTTAATTTTAATTTCTTTAAAATTAAACACATATATACTATATTTTAAATACAATATACATGTTTTTATATCTTGAAAAAAAGGAGTGGTACTTCAAAGTATTTTATTATCTATGTGTCTTGGATTTGTTTAATATTATGATATATCTTGTCTTCTGAAATATTTCGTATAATATTTAATTTGTGTTACATCTGTCAATGTTGACAGCTGCATCTTTCACTGTCTCTCTCTTATTATAGATGTATTTATATTTTGATAACAAACAATACTCCAAAATATTTTATTGTACATGTCATTTGAATTTGTTTAATGTTATGATATGACTTATCTTCTGAAATATTTTTTACAGTATTTGTGTTACATCTGTCAATGTTGACAGCTACATCTTTCATTCTCTCTTTTTAACATAATAGATATGTTATAAATCTATAACATATGTCTTATAATGAGCGAATAGTGCTCTGAAATATAATTTTATTATGTGTATGTCTTTTGGATTTAATTGTTTAATGTTACAATATGTCTTGTCCTTTGAAACACTCTTATAGTATTTAATTTATCTTTCTATGTTGTGACTACATCTTTCATTCTCTTTTATCCCTTTTCACGTTATAAATTACTGCCTCTTAAAAAAAACACGATATCTATAATAAACAATAATCTTAATTCTTCTTTGAAGGGTGGACAAGTGTTACGAATTGCTCTCAGCTTGAGCACGCTCTATGGTATCCCCATCGAAATCGAGAATATACGTGCTGGAAGGCCCAAGCCTGGTCTCGCGGCACAACATTTGAAAGGTAATCCAAAAATAGAAATCAATATTTTATATTCGATTATGTGATAAAAAATTCTATTATTATAGGTGTGGAACTTGTTAAGGAGATGTGTAATGCCCAAGTCAGAGGTGGATACATAGGATCGACACGTTTGGAATTCCGTCCGGGTCCACTAAACAAAACCAAGAGAACGTTTGTAGCAGACACAAAAACTGCTGGATGCATTTGCTTACTGGCGCAAGTAGCACTGCCGTGTGCCCTCTTCTTTCCATGTAACGATACGATCACGCTCATTTTTAAGGGTGGAACGAACGTTCCTATGGGGCCACACATAGAATATATGACAGAAGTATTCAAACCATTGCTGAACAAATTCGGAGCAAACTTTGATTTCGTAGTTGTGAAGAGGTATATGCACTCAACTTATTGTGATGTTAAATTTACGGCTATATTGTTCTATTTATACTAAAATTAATGATAAATGGAGGGGATATTATCCAAAGGGAGGAGGCGAGGTACATTTACGCATAAAACCGATCAGTAGCTTAAACGCGATTACCTTAATCGATCTGGGAAATCCTCGAGGAATAACAGGATGGTCTTATGTGGCTGGATCAGTTCACATAAATGTATGTATCACCTCGATTAAACCTATAAATGAATTCTCCTAGTAAATTTTGAATTAATTATAATACATGTTTCATAGGAAGCGCATACAATGGCCAATGATGCCAAAGCAATTTTAACAAATAAATTAGTGAAAAGTAACATTCGAGTACCACCAATTACGATTGAAGCTTACAGAGAAGACAGAGCAATGGCTGTTGGAAACGGCTCTGGTATTAAGTAAGAAACTACTATATTGAAATTTTTTTCCTATTCTTTTTAATTTCCTGTTCTTTTTAACTTCCTACTGAACTATCTTTTCTTTTTTTTCCTTTAACATGAAAAGAAAGAAAACAAAGATAAATCGTACAAAAAATTTAATTAAAAGAACAGGCCTCTTATTTCATTAGATACAGATAAAAAAATTGATGACAGAAATGTAAAAATAAAATAAATATTAGTATAGTGTGTAACACCAGCACGGGATGCGTTCTCGGCGGCTCCGGATTAGGTTCCGGAAGACAAGAAGGACCGCCGGCAGGTGAAACAGCAGCTAACGAGATTTTAAAGCCACTCCTGACAGGGGCGTGTGTTGACGAACATACGCAGGATCAGGTAAGCGCGTAGCTAGTTTGAAGAGATACCTTAACTTTTTCAAATTAATCAAATTAATGCGTTATTTATTACAGATGATAATTTTAATGACATTGGCGAAAGGTACTTCGCAAATCAAAGTCGGAGATAAGAAGCTCACTTGTCACACGGAAACTGCTATGCAGGTTGCAGAAATAATGTTGGGTAAACGCGGACTTCGCTTCAACTTGTCAAAAAGTGCCGAAGATGGGGACACTTCATCTTATATTTTGGAATGTCAGGGATGTGGGTTGATTAACGATAATGTGGTTAAACAATGAACATATGATGTTTTATATTTATCGTTGCGCACATGTTTTGACGTAAGTATTATGTCGATCAATTGGCTTTCATATTTGCCATTATTAAGTAAATTGCAACGTCGACATTAACATTCACATATACTTTCAAGAGAATTTTGTAAGAAGTTGAAGTCGTTTAAGTAATACAGTTCATTAACAAACATCATTATATATACAATGTGCTATGATTTTCTGTGTGCTAAATCATGATTATTTGTTTAATGTACTGTATCCTAAAATTAACACATCAAGCAAAAAGTTTTCAAACGAATACAAGCTTATCTCGCATAAAAAATGACCTTTTGTTACATACACACACTACTATACATACAGGATGATGTAACATGTACTGAAAGTACGTTCTGATTTTGAAATGAGCCATTTACACACACATTCGTCACTTATGATTTTAGAGGAATTGTAAGGCAACAACATTATTCTTGTTTAGATCTGAAAAACGGTTCGATTGCCCGTAGGAACTCCTTTTCGAAGATTTCGCATGAGAAACGATTTACAGATGACCTAAAAAACCGAAAAATCGATATATAAAAAAATCTTTATTTCACAATATTAAAGAATTATAAAATATCCTTGATCTTACCTGGCTGCAATTCTAATAGCATTTCGAACCTTTGGAGGCATTTGTATGATGGACGCTATTACTTTGGCATATTCCATTTCATCTTCTGCTAAAAAACCATTTACACTACCCATTCGTGTTTCTATGATGTCTGCTCTAAAATTAGAATATTTTTTTAAAGTAAAATTTTTATTAGAAAACTTTACGAGTCAATTACATGGCTGAGCTGTCGGCTTTCGTGATCGCAATTTTATTGAATTAAATGGAAATTATAATTAATTAGTAATTTTAACAAATGTGGTCTCTTATATGTCTGACGTCCAATTCTGGTTTGTTATTAATATTTGAGCATTAAAGTGACAATGTAAGCTTCAAGTAAAAAATTGACAAATCACAATCGAAGGATATGAGGAAAATTATTGATTATGATTGATTAATTTATGGCTTGAAGCTTAAGTTTTATGCCATAAAATCACAAAGCTTAAATTTTACGCTTTAAAATCTCATTGTAGACGTCGCTTAAGATTGCCGAGAGAAAGGTTGTCGCGAACCTGCGATTACGACAAAGTTGTACCGCACTTGACAATGTGATCACAAATACTGAGCCAAGTATATACCTCGGACCACCGGAAGAATGGGCCACCATAATTAATCCCGCCGCCATGCACTCCACGATGCCGATACCAAAATGTTCATTCCACATTGTATGCAGACCAATCGCTCCTTTTTGCATCTCGGACACAAGTTCCGAGTATGGTACATTCAACTTGAACTCAACGTTTTTGTCTAAAGCCAAGTGTTTAGCCAAATCTTGCATATCCTTAACGCGTCTTTCGTCCTCGGCGTCTCGACAGGAACCAATACAGACTAACTTGACCTAAATAGTATTAAGTTTAGAATACATCTGGAGTATTTAGAATACATCTATTAAGATAAATCATTAACTCACCTTCTCCCAGACTTCCTCCTTAAGAATAGATCTTAACTCGAACATCACCCTCAACATGAGTGGATGATTCTTCTCCGGCCTGAATTGAGCGATCGCAATTATGCGTATGCATTTATTCTTTTCCTCATCGCTGAGAAGTGGCAGTCCAATCAGATGCTCCACACTACATGGGGGATACACTCGATGCGTCTTCAGTGGACATTTCCAGATAGTATTGATATGCTCTTCGGTCCACGAGGAATTTACAATCACGATGTCGGCGCAACTACCAACCAATCCGTACAACTGAAATGTTCTATTGTGGAATAACTGTTTGAAAAAACTCGTCTACTTTTTCCTCACAAAATAATTATTCGAATTTGTATACTTACATATGCGAATAATTTATAATAAAGGAATTTCCCTCCTGAAAGCAATGGATTTCTAGCGATGATCCTTCGATTATTGTGCGCGACAACTCTCTTGTAGACGTACTTCAACATATCAGTTGAAATAGTGGGATAGTGCGTATACGATCCGACTAGGCAACCACCGATGTATTTAAACAATGGATATGTAAACGCATAACCCATCGTGTCGATGTATATGTCTGCGATTTGTATAAGTATTGTATAACTATGTGTTATTTGTATCTACTTTTATGTATTTTTGTTAATAGAAACTATAAAATAGTACAAATATTATTTAACCCGTAACAAGAACACATTTTTTTGTGACATTATAAAGGAACATGTGAGTCTTTGGGATTCATTGAAGTTTCCTGTTATTTATTTTCTTTAAGAATTGCAACATTTGAACTTAGTATAAATATAGTACAATAATTAGTCTATACGAATAGAACAAAAGAATGAAAAATAAAATTATTCCAAACCATTATATTAGGTGTTGGAATTAATTCGTAGCGTTTTTAATGAAAGAATGTTATTTATTTCACATGAGCATTAAAAAATACATTAATGAAAGTACTTCCCATCACTTGTAAAACGCTACGAATTAATTCCAACACCTAATACTATTTAAAAATTAGGAAAATGTCCTGTCATCAGAATCTGTATGTTCTAGTTACAGGTTAAACAATCTATTACATCACCTGGTGTAAGATTGTTTAACGCTTCGATACCCAGATAGACGGATCCCAGGCTTTGTCCCAGAAGTGTGAAATAAGGATATGTAGAAGCCTCCACCCATTTTCGCCCATGCAAATAGACGAATTCGATATTTGGTTGCAATTTCATATTAAATGTCTTTTCAGTTTGGCTGAGAATCTTTTCAGGGTCTGCATCAAGATCGCCAGTGTATATAGCTATGTGTATGTCAGGATATCTAAAAGTGTTCAATACACAAGATAAAAAATATAGTGGGTTTCCATTTGGTGATACTAGTTGACATCATTCTATCTCTCTTGACATTCAGTAAGTAACAAATATAGAATGATATTTGTTTTTCGACTTGTGTCATCAAATGATAAGCATCTAATGTGAATAACAGTGCAACAAATAATCTCAGCTTCGATGAACAGATCACAAGTGCTTTTGATATCAAACATTCTTAATATGAACTTTACAAAAATGTTATTTTGGCACATACTTGGTCTGTATAGCATGAACCGCAGCCCAAAGTACTCTCTCGCCTCCTCCACCTGCATTGCAGTATGGATGAAAAATACCGACAACTGTTCCAGTCTGTTGTCTCTCCTCGCGCTTCTTTGAGTAAAACTTTCTCCATTTTATCAACAGAATTGGCAAAAGAACAAGTATACAGAATATTTTACATAGAGCAATTAATAACAGCATGTTTACGAATAGGATTATGGGTGTCCTACAAAGATAAAGTTGTATTAAATAGATATATTTATCAATATACATTATCATAAAGATCATAAAGATACAATTTCTTGCTCGATATTATAGAATATCACTACATAAGCAAGACTTTTACAAATATAATATAAAGCTGGTTAAATTACATGGCAGTCGGTACAAATGTTGCAACTGAGAATAGTCATTCATTCCTTAGACAAATAATCTCATTTAACGAGAGATAAAAATTTAATTATTCTAAGATAACAATGAATAAAAAACAGACGACAAAACTATGAATATATAGTTGCAAAAAAATTAATTAATATAAAACATACAAGGCTTTTACAAATATAATCTGAAACTAATTAAATCAATAAATGAATTTTGAGACTAAGCGCAAAATTCTTCACATCGAATAAGAGTCTATTTTTAATAAGGTACAATAAAAAAAACGGATAACTAGTCGTAAAAAATATTCTTAACGCTAAATTTACAGTTACACACCATGCAGAAGATCGCATTAACGAGCTGCTAACGAGCGGTATCTCTTACATTAAGAAGTAAAAAATCATGTTCGCGACCACTCTGCACGTGGTATTGTTTGCCGAACTTGTTAGAACTTGCCAACGTGTAATATAACTTCGTGGCGGTCCTCAAATGGATGATCCCTCGTGAGCGGGGAATTAACCTCACAATAGTCACAGTCACACTTATGTCGCGCGAGAACTAAACTAACCTCACTAACTGCGAGAAGAGAGAGAGAACATATATTTCTCCTCTTTTTTTCACCTTAAATATAAGTACGTCGATGAACGCAAGTGAATATTTATCTTTGTGAGGAATGTTCGATCTTCCGTCGATAATTGATAAATAATGTTGTCTTGCTCGCAAAAAATATATGAAGGAGAAAAAGAGGAGAAATAGATATCAAAAATAAAGTGCGAAGAAGTGCAACTTTTGTTGCATTCGAATAATTGTTAAATCAAGATTAAAGTTCATAATCTCCACTGATGTAAAACGAGCAATTCTCTAAATTCAAATAATGATCAAATTTTCATGATAACAACATAATATTGTATTCTTATAATTCTTTTATTTTTCCAATATTTAATATTTATTTCTTAATTTTCTTATATTTTTTAATACATTCTTCCATATCTCGCACATTAATTATATATCTAGACTATTAATTCGCTTTTATTACTCCCGTATTACATTATTCTTCCCATCTTTGCAACAAATTGCTATAATATATAATCTTTAACGTTTAAAATCCTTTAAGCGTATAATCCGAGGACAGCGGTCAGCTGTCTGACCTGTCAATTTACTTCAGTCAGCTGGAAATGTAGGGATTACTGGGAAGCTCGCATCATATACTGTGCTCCGCTGTACTCGCATCGTGCGTCACGTGTGCACTTTTTTTGCGCGCGTGTGCATTCATGCGCACGTCGCGTCGTCGGTCGTCGGTCGTCGGTCATAGTGCCGTCATATATACTGTGGTACCGTCGTGCGTCGTCGCCTGGCGTCACATCGCGCGTCTAGAGTTGCCGCCTTGTTCTACCTTGTTCGTATCTTCGCGTCACCGTCACCGTTTCCTCCGCGCGGCTGATTAATTTTATCCACGCGACCGTTCTGTTCTCGCCCGTCGATACGAGATAGTCATCCTCACGCTCAGCGTGCAACGCGCTCATTCCGCTTCCGAAGAGATTCCTCCGTGTGGCAAACGTTTAGGTTAGAAATCTCGCGCGAGTAGTCTTAGCAGCGAACAGTGAACCGAGAAACACCTGTCCGCGTTGTGTGTGCTTTTTTACACATCGCACGCGGGTCTTCGCCGATGTACGCGTGGAGATGCTGAGGGGATGGTCGATAGATTGGCATGATTCGCTTTAACACATCCGAGCTGCGTCTTATAAAAGAGAATGGCGATGGTGAAGAGAGTG